TACAGCAATAATTACAAATGCAAACATGGAAGCTAGAGAGAGTGAAAATTGTATTAGAGGGAGGACGTGTGGCTAGTTTGTTTCTCAGTAGTCTGTCTATAGTGGTATAACTAAGGGATAGTGCAGGAAATCAAAGCCAATCTCAACTATAGGATTTATCAAAAAAGAAAGCCTTAAGTAGACCGGGTGTCGGCCTCATGGACAGAAACTAGAAGTTGGTTCCACAAGAGAAGAGCCTGAACTAAAAGCTCTGCCTCCCATTTCTATTGAATTCAATTCAGTTTATTTATATAGTGCCAAGTCACAACAGAAGTCATCTCAGGGCACTGAACAGAAACATTCAGATATACATATTAACATAAGTTAACGCTATTTATCTGAGGAGCAGACTGCTTTGAACTTATTCACAGCACTCTCTTGAGCAAGCATGAAGGCAACAGTGGAAAGGAAAAACTCCCTCATGAGGAAGAAACCTTTAGCAGAACCAGACTCAGGACAAGCAGCCACCTGCTTCAACCGGCTGGGTTTGAGAGGAACAGGAAGGAGGAACAGATACACAATGGCAGGTCGAGAATGAAATGTTAAGATAGAAATAGGATCAAATGAAAACTATTAAATTTTAACAATTAATTCAAGGAAATGAGGTCAATTTGTCCTCCATTCTAAGCCTATGGCAGCATAACAAGCCAACCCTAACTATAGGATTTATCATAAAGGAAAGTCTTAAGCCCAGTCTTAAACCTGGACAATGTGTCAGTCTTACAGACATAAACTGGACGTTGGTTCCATAAGAGAGGAACTGAAAACTGAAAGATCTTCCTCCCATTCTACTTTTGGAAACTATGAACCGCAAGTTAGCCTGCAGTCTGAGAGCGAAGTGCTCTGTTAGGAAAATATGGAACAGTAAGATGTTTAATATAAGATGGAGCTAGGTTGTTGAGAGCTTTGGTTAAGTAAGATTTTGAGTAGATTGAATAGATTGATTTTTCTTTTAGAACCTCTAGGAACCACAAGTAAACCTGCAGTCTGATAATGAAGTGGTCTGTTAGGATTATATGTAACAATGTTAAGCAAACTCACATGAAAGATTTGGTGATTGTATTACGCTGTATGCACTTTTTGACGCAACCTAGGATCAAACCTGCAGCCTCAAGAAAACAAGACTGTGACACTGACCACCAAGCTACCACAGCTCCAGGAAAATAAGGAACAATAAGAACTTTTAATATAAGAATGGGTTTGGTTGATGAGAGCTCAGTTTCATTTATAGTCACTTTCTCAATCAGCATGACTCAGTTTTTTTTAAATTTTTTTTTTATTTCAGCTCTTGCCTTGTTGGTCCACCTTTTAGTTAATGTGTTAATTTTGTGAAATATGTCCGTCCAGAGAGTTTAGCTTTATTTTTTGTTTGAATAATTCACGTTTGAATCTAAGTGCTCACGTTTTCCTGTGTGTAACACATCAGATCGTTGTGTCAGGTTAGTCACGTTCTGATGCCTTGTTTTTCATGGTTCAAGGGCGTATTCACATAACACCAGGAAATCCAGTCCTTTTCCAAGACCTTATATTACACGCATCCAACAATCTGACGCAGTCTCCCCCGCCCCCCAGGCTCTTTATGATGTTTCATAACTGAGCTAGTTCCTCTGAAACGGACAAAGGAAATGTCAAAGTTTAGTTGTCTTTAGGTCAGGGAGGGCAGAAAGCCTGGGCTGTGTAGAAGTTGTGGACTTGACATGTGCAGATGTAAAGCCATGTGCACGCATAAAAACACACTGACACCCAGATTCACAGAGATCAATGACTGATGGTCTCTCTTTTCACTCTTGATACAGTTTGATTATGATCTAGTGTGCAGTTGGTGCTTGGCATCAGTCATTTCCCCTGTGAGCATCACAGCAGCGGTTGCTATTTGTAGATCTGTTGCTCATCTGCTGTGCCCAGATCTAAAAGTCCGTCAGTTCACACATCAGTTCACACAATGCCTGCAAGATTGTCAATCCCATTTGAGCTTCACGATGAGCAAAGTCTCAAAGCTTTCGGACAAACCTAAAATTAGTCTGTAGTTGTTTTATTTAAATGGAATTAAACTTTTTGTTCTGTCTATGAAGTAGTCAAGTTCAAGAACGTTTAAGCTTGGGGTGTTTCCTTTTTTTTATCATACCTACAAAAAGCAGAAAATGAGCTGATTTTGTAGATATAAAGAAAAGTATAGAGAATATATATTTTTAACTATTTTAGTTTCTTGAAAGTAGTTACATTGAAGGCTTTAGAATATTTTGGTAAACAGAGGATGTCATGATTAACTGAGAGGTTCTGAAGTCCCGTGGTTATAAAACAAGCCCAAACCGTACATCCTCCATTTCTGTGCCTGACAGTTGCTATTAGCTCTTTGTGCTGGCATTTTTCATACATTATGCAAAAACATATCCACTTCATCTATCCAAAAATAAAACGAATTAGAAATCTTGTGGATCAGTTTTTACAAACCTAAGCTTTTGTCATGATTTTTTTTTTTTTTTTTTTTTTTTAGAGCGAGAGAAAACTTTCTCTTCTACAACTCAACAACCATATTTTAGTCCTTTTTGAACTATTTCTTATGGCCATTAACCTGCTAACTGAGGCCTGTAGAGTCTGGGAGAATTTGCTGGGACGTCCACTCCTGGAAAGTTTGAAAGCTGTCAAACGTTTTTCACTTGCAAATAATCCTTCTCTCTGTAGAATGATGGACTCCAAATAGTCTGGAAATGACCTTTAACCCCTTTTAGATTGATAAGTAGCAACAGTTGCTTCTAAAAGATCATTGCTGACATTTCCACTTTGGCATTGTGTTAACACACACCTGTATGCTTCACTTTTGTTTTTATGGAGTAGCTAGAACTTACTAAGGATCATTTAATAAATGCAAAGTAAAGTTTGACTTAGTTTTCCCATAATCAAAAGAGATGGAGTCAGTAGAAAACCTCCGCAAACATCTTGGGGAGAAAGTTAATTATGGTTATGATGAGGCTGTGCAGCAGTTGAACAACAAGAGTATAATTTGGTGCTGCAAGAGACAAGTGAAGAAAGACCAATAGTTGCTTGCCAACAACCTCCCTTCTATATTTACCACTACTGCAAACCACCTGTCACTTACTGAGAAGTGCATGGAGGAGCTGGACAGCCGGGTGCAGCGCATCACCTCCAAGGCTGTTGAGGAGGACGAGGCTGCTGTTCAGAAGCTGAAGGAAACACTGAGGAGCTTCAAGGCAAATGCAAATACTTTATAAAGGGATGAAGACATACCCATCACTGCACCCTGTATTCACTGGTTAACTGGTCATCATTAACTTCACACAGACTCTCTCACTGGTACATTTTCATCTTTAAATCACTTCTTGGTCTGTTGCCTTCATACATCTCCTACATGTCACTACGTGAGTGCAGCTACAGCGTGTGCTCTCAGGACATTATTACATGCAGTGTACCCTCATTGCGGAGCGACCAAGGCAAAAGGGCCTTCTACTCCACTCCTGTATCCTGGAACACCTTGCAAAAAGATCTGAAGTTCTCGACCTTGACCTCTAAGTGGCTTCAAACATCTAAGTTCATGGCAAAAACCAACGCAGACATGTTCCTGTTTTTAGTATTTTATATCTCTTTATAATGTAGATGTTATTGTTTCGTTTTTTATCATTTCTTCCATTTATTTTTCATTTTATATGCGTTAGTATGATTGTCTACAGTTGTCATCTGTGTTCTTTCTTTAAATCAGGTCTCTTGTAAATGAGTCCTCAAGGCTCAATGAGACTAACCTGTATAAATAAAGGTTGAATTGAAAAGACCTGTTGATCTTCTTCAAAAGGAGGATTTTCCTCCAGCTTTTGGTTTTATATTGTTCCTTTTTTTGTGTGTGTTAAAATAAATTTATTCTAGATTGTTGGTATTTACTTATGAAATAAAACCGTTCTGTTTTTATTAAAAGGGCACAACTGATTCACACCTCCTCACATCCTACTCACATTTCCTGGTTGTATTCCTTTTACGGCTTCCCTGGGCATCAAAGAGCTCTGCCAGGAATCCACTCAACACATATACCAATGCTAATTAATGAAGAGCACATCTGCCCCCACCTGAACAACCAATCCCCCCCTCCTGTAGACCAGATCAGACTAACAAACCCTGCCCAGCCAGAGGTCAGTTGGAAGTGCGAAAGCTCCCCATTAGGGTACTCCTGTCACGTTATCTGGCCTAACTGAGTCGTTACCTGGTCAATACGAGCAGGGGGAGCACACGCACAAACTAATCTGATTCATCTTTATGAAAAGACTTGCAGATGAAGGGAACATGAACGTGTCCAGAAGCTACACTTTATAGCTTGTAGATGTTCTCCAAATACAGCAGCTGGTGTATTTTTTGCTTCTTTAGACCATTAAAAGGGATGCCGAGTGAACTCTTCACTCACTGAGAGCCAGATTATTATGTTCAGGATAATGATCTGAAGCTAAAGACGTCATTGTTAAAGTTAAAGTAGATATCCAAGTCGGCAAGTTAATGTTTAGAACCATTTTTGTGTTTGTATTAAAGTATTTTAAAGTAGTACCCTTGCTGATACATTTGATAAGGTCATTAGAAAAATCTAAGCAAATATGTTCTTGTTTTTAGCATTTTACCTTGTTTTGTATGGCACCTTGATTTAATTGTTTTTATAACACTGTTAATGCCCTGAGACGACTTCTGTTGCGACTTGGCACTCTATAAATAAACTGAATTGAATAGAATTGATAACACTACGTTTATGTTAATTGCTTTTTATTGTTGTATATGTTCTGTACTCTGTATGTTGTCTGTCTAAAACAGGTTTCTTTTGAAAATGAGTCCTCATGACCTCAAAGAGACTACCTGGATAAATAAAAGTTAAATAAAAAATCAAATTAAAAAATGAAGCCACAGAAGTCGGAGCCTTGCTGTCCTCTGGTGCGATAATGAGCAGTTTTCTGCTTGACTGTTTTTCTCTGCAGGGCTCCAGAGATTATTTTGGGCCTGCCATTTTGCGAAGCCATTGACATGTGGTCACTTGGCTGTGTGATAGCTGAGCTTTTTCTGGGCTGGCCCCTCTACCCCGGAGCGCTGGAGTACGACCAGGTAACACTTCTGCACACACAGACAAAAAGTACAAGCTGCTGTACTGCATGTACACAAACATGTAGAGAGGGCGGCTTCAAGATGTTCGTTTTGCTCGTTCAACGTTAAACTCCTTTAATACTTCACTGGACTGAGTGCATCAGGAAAATTGTTTTTTGCAGTGTGTGTGTGTGTGTGTGTGTGTGTGTGTGTTTTCATTGTGAGATAATGTGTGGTCTAAACTGCACAACTGGGACTAAAATTCAAATCCCCAGACAAGGGAGCGAGAGCATGGGAAAAGGCCCACACCACTTTCACAGACAAGTACAGGATTATCTTGTTTGACCATAGACAACTCGGCAAAGATGAGATTTATGCTGATTAAGTTTTCAATTAAAGAGTATAAAGATATCTGGGGGTAAAGATGCTTGGGTGTTGCCATATGTTGGTCTGTAACCTGTTTTGGGAGTAAAGATTGTGCAAAAAGTCAAACTTATCTTTAAACATTTTCCTTATAACTTATTTGACCTAATTTGTTTTAGCTTTTAGTTAAGTTTTTATTATTTTTTGTTCCTTCAGCAGATAGCCATTTTGATTAGTGTTCAGTCAAAGGTTGTGGCTTCTCTGCACATTGATGTATTTCCAGGCCATGCCAGGATGCACACCCAGGCATGCACACTGAGCCCCCGAAAGCTTGCTGTCCCATGCCAAGGCTCGCCGCTGTTCCACTCTACACAGCAAAATGTATTTATAAACATAAGCCTGATGATAGACATGCACACAGCCATGCACACGCATGCTTGCACGTGCACGGACTTTGGTTAGAGTTCAGTGCACCATCAGCAGGTTCTCGGTCCAGTGCCCTCTGGCCAGTGCGTGTGTTTGTTCTAGGCTGTAGACATGTGCTTGAACTCTTGTTGAACATAACTATTTTAACTCGTCGTGAAATGTGTGGAGTGTTGTTTTAATATGACGTCTATGAGCTCTAGTGGCAAAAGTTAAAGCAAAAAAACTGACGAAAAGCTGTTGAAGTGTTGCAAAAATGTCGGTAGGCACATTCTTTCATCCCAAATTAGTATGTAGTGTTGGCGTTCATTAAAGGTGCTCTTTGCAAACTTTTAATTAATTAATTATTTAAATAGGTTTCTCTTGAAAATGAACCCCTGTGACTCAATTAGACTACCTGTATAAATAAAGCTGTTGTTTTTTAATTTAACCTTTATTTATACAAGTAGCCTCATTGAGTCACGAGGACTCATTTTCAAGAGAGACCAGTTTGGGAGCAGATGGTGGGAGTTAAGGGCCTTGTCCAAGGGCCCAGAGTGGGGCAAAGGAGGGTGGAGGCAGGTGTGGATGTTTCACCTTTCCCACCCACATTTTGATGTCAGTGTGGAGAGTCGAATCGGCAACCTTCTGATCACAGGCCCACCTTCTCTACCCCCCCCCCCCCAGGTTAAATAAAAACATAAAAATAATACAAAATATATTATCCTGAACAATATCAAATGCTGCTGTTTGCGTTTACTCCAATAGTTTTCCAGCTTTATTTTCAAAATTTTGAAATGTGGGTATGCACCCAATGTAAACAAAGCACTTGGCTGAATTTGCTAAAACTGCGTGGAAGCTTGAGTCACATGATCGACCTTTAATTTGGCAAACCGTAGTCTGTGTTGGTAAACAAATATGGTGGAGTCAGACACGCATAGAATCTCAAAAGATGTTTAGATGAAAATATCAGAATGAATCTGCTGCTGAATCTGAAAAAAAGAAAGAAAGATTGAAACTTCTTTTAGTCTTGTTTTAATGTTTCAATGTTGTTGTTTTTTTACGCTGGCCTAATTGTTTAAAAAAACGATCTGCATACTTCAGAAATCTGCGTGTAAATATGTACCTGTTTATCAAAACTCCTGAGAAAGTTCTCCGTCCCAGACGGCTCTTCTAGTAGTCATAAGTGAACTGTTTTATTTTACTTTTTCAATTTCTTGTTCACCTGGTCTTTATGACATTTAAACCTCCGTTAGCAACCAGCTAACATCCAAACTTTTGTAAATTAACATGTTTGTGCAGCTTATTCTGAAAGACAAATGAGCTACTTTTATCTTTTTAGAAATAAGCTACAACTTACCAGCATGTTTAGCCTTAAAATCTGGACAAAAACACCGTCATTATTAATAAAAAAATATCATATTTTGACTTGCAATACCCACTCGGCTGTCAACATTTTGATCTACCTACATGTATGACTATAATCTGCTCTTTATCCAGGAGTACATATTTCTGTTTTACAGCTAAAACTGTACAAGCTTTTAAAAAAAAATAAACAATGTTTTTTATAATAAAAATGCTTTTTTTATGCTGTTTCTGAAAATTAACCAAACTCTCTTCAGAAAACTAAAATTTATCCAAAATATCTACTAAATACTGAACTAAATGCAAGCAAATTTGTAAAAATAGCAATAAACCCCCCCACATTTTTTTTTAACATAGGTTTCTTAACCAAAACTAACCAAATTAAACTTCAGATCCTTTGATAAATTTGCATAGATGAATAGGATTCAGCTGTATTGTATTTTTTAAAATACCGGTAGATTTAAGCAAACGCTTAAAGATTTACCTGTTTTTGTCAAATTTTAAGGGTTAAAGGTAAACATGGGTTTATTGGTCAAAGTGCAAACTTTAGTCACAAGGTTTGTGAAAGATACTGAAACGTTTTGTCAGTTCAGAATCTTTTGTTTCGGCTGTTTTCAGTAAGTCTTAAAAAGTATTTCCACATTTTTAATAAGGACTTTGATTCTTCTTGGGTTAAAAAAGTTATTTTTTGTTGAACTGGATCTTTCTAGGGTTTGCTCAAACTGTTGGCTTGACAGAGCAGTAAATGTTGAACTTGGATAACAAGAGAACTGCACGAGTTCTAATAAATTAAAATTTTAATGGTCATTTTGCTGAACACATGCAATCAAAATATGTACCAGTAGTCCTTGTAAACGCTCTTGTGGCATTCTCGCTAAATGTTCAAGCTACCCGTAGCTTAAAAGCTGCCAAACCTTGACTTTGATGCCAAAACATAAAACGTCTCTGCCCTGACACTGAATCTGCTGTTTGTGACCGTATGAACACAGAGGTGACCACAATCACCACTGAAACGTTTAAAAAAACATATTATTGATTAATTTAGTATACAACAAATGTTTATGTGAAAACAAATTTACAGAACTGCTTTCATCTGTTGAAGCTGGTCGCATTTTTTTTCAAAAATTGTAAACTTGTTAAAAATGTGGGGGGGAATCTGAATGTCTGAATCAACCTAGATCTGTAAACTTGTTGCTTTTATGATTTTACCTTACAATTTATTGAAAGCGTCTAAAATGCTGCAGAGTTGTTTGCATGTTGCTGATATTGACACAGATTGTAACAACTGTGAGCATCTGCTTCTCTAAACTGATTAATGAAACTAGTTTTATTAAAATGAATCACATTCAGGTTGATTATCTCTGTGACGTTTTCTGCTCGTTTCTGTCCCCCTCCCATCTCTTCCTGTCGGCGCCCCGTTTCCTACGGCTCGCTCTGCTCAGATCCGGTACATCTCTCAGACGCAGGGCCTTCCGGCCGAGCAGCTGCTCAACAAGGGGACGAAGACCTCACGCTTCTTCACCAAAGAATCAGACTCTCCCTACGCCTCCTGGAGACTTAAAGTACCTTCATGCATAAACACAGCTTCATTCACAAACTGCTGCAAATGCAAAGTGTTTTTTTTTTCTTCTGTAAATCACACATTATTCTACAGTTTTTGATTGCTGTGGTTTGTCAGAGTCAGAGTCAGAGTTTCTTTATTGTCATTCGCACCTCATGTG